TGGCGATGAACAAAACGTCGATTTGTGGATAAAAGGATTTGGGGTTCTAAACGATGATTATGTGAGGATTTCATATTGGATGGGGATCTTCTCTTCGAATGTGGATACATAGATTTGGCGTATGAAACATGATGATGTTGGGGATTTGAGATTGGATAGGGAGCTAAATCGAATGTGGATCAAATAATAAAAGGATTTGGGTTTCGAAACGATGATTTTGTTGGAGATTTCAGATTTGATAGGCAGCTTATGATCGAACTTCGAACTTAGAGTTAGAGGGGACCCTCCAAGGCGAATGAGGGATCGTAGAAGGGAGACTGGAAATTGGTTAGGGCGGCGGGTCGTATCCATAGGGTTTAAACTCTTAATCGCTATCATTAAACCGGGTACAGTTAGGTTGAAGTCCGTAGAAGTCACCATAAACGCTTCGTGATGCATTTGGTAATTTTCCTTGCCCCCGGTTACCCGTACCCCGGATTTTGCCCTGGGCACCGTAGAACTGCCCATATATATGTATGTGTGTGTGTGTGTGGTGTGTAGCGGCTGTAGCCATGTGTGGTGGTGTTAGTGTGTGTGAGTTAATAAAACCTAAACCGAGAACTTTTGTTTGAGTTCTCCGTGGATTAGTCTCGTTCCCATGAACGAGGATACTACGTAAATCTATGTGTCGTTATTCTTTCGTGCGTTCAGTTTATTTTACATGGTATCAGTGCTGATCTGATCGTAATTTTCTCGATATACCATGGGTGATACAGAAGAGAAGAAGCCCGATGATAAAGTTTTTGGTTCTGGTGGTAGCGGCTTCAATAGTGGTATCAAAGTTGAGAACGACCTACCTCGCCATACTTCATCAGCCAATCTGATAACCCTAACCAAGTCTATGTTGGGGGGATTGTTGAATGAGTCGAATTATGCTTGTGTGGCGCTGAACGTAAGAATTAACAATGAGAAGAGACTTTCTGTTTGTATGACTTCTTAATGGGACTTGATGAGTCCTTTTCAACTGTTAAAACTCAAGTCCTATCCATGAAGACTCTTCCCACACTCTCGAAGGCATATCGGTTGGTTTCCAATGATGCTCACCAACAGTGCCTTGCTGCTGGTCACCGTTCTACTCCTAAAGCAGCTGCATTCTTTGCACGCGAAGATGCATCTCGCTCAGACTTAACGCAGGTTGATCCTCTTGGAAGACACAAATGCACACATTGCGGGAAGACTGGGCATCTAAGGTAGCGTTGTTTCGATCTAATCGGCTGACCTGAATCTCTAATTTCAACTTCGTGAGTTTTTAGTTGGTTCTTTTTCTCCTGAAGTTTCGGACACCAAACTCACGGGTAAATCTTCTTCTCCTCTTGAATGGATTTTGGATTCAGGTTGCAATGAACATATATTTCATGATGCGTTAGTTATTTCGCATGGTTTTTCCCCAAACGATTTGCAAGTTCGGGTTCCCAATGGTACAACTGTTCATGTTAGTCAAGTGGGTTTAGTTAAGTTGTGTAATGGTGTGTTTTTATCTAGATTTCTGCTGGTTCCGGAATTCAAATGTAATCTCTTGTCCATCAGTCGCCTCACTAAGGATTTCCCCATTACTTTGATCTTTCTCCACGACTTTTGTGTCCTACAGGACTCACGTTACTGAGGGATGATTGGGATGGGCCGTCAGCGTGATGGGTTATATTATTTCCGGTTTTTCGATGATGGGCGACAGGTCGTGGCTCATCCAAGTTACCGAGAGCCCTATTCATCACTCAGTTTGTGGCACTCGAGATTGGGGCATCCTTCTCTTGAGAGACTTCGTTCTTTGTCGTTTATTTCTGGTTTTGATTCTCGTTCTACTCAGTTTCCAGACAGTCATTGTTCATCTTGTTTGCAAGCTAAACAGACTCGACTTCCTTTCCCATCTAGTTCTATTATTAGTACTCGTCCTTTCGAGTGATTCATGTGGATATCTGGGGTGGTTATAAGAAGTCGTCATTGACAGGGGCACATTATTTCCTTACAGTGGTTGATGATTATTCTCATGGTGTTTGGATTATTTGATTAGTAATAAATCAGAAGTTGGTCGTTATCTGGTGTTGTTTTTTCGTCAAGCTCAACGACAGTTCAGAAAATATGTTTCTCGCATCCAGGCTGATAATGGTCTGGAGTTTAGACTCACATATTGCATGAGTATTATGAGGCAGAAGGTATTGAACTCCAAACATCTTGTACCGATACCCCTCAACAAAATGGGTTCGTTGAGCGCAAGCATCGACACCTTCTTGAAGTTTCTCGTGCACTTCGGTTTCATGCTAATTTACCTACGATGTTTTGGGGAGAGTGTGTACTTATAGTGGCATATTTGATCAATCTGATGCATGCCATCTCCCGTCACTCGAAATCTCAGTCCTTTTGAACGTCTCTTTGGTAAACAACCTGGTTATCGTCATCTTCGCACGTTCGGTTGTCTCGTCTATGCCAAAAACACACACGCATCTCTCGACAAATTTGAAGAACGATGGAGGATTGGCGTGTTTCTCGCATATCCAGCCTCGCAATAGGGCTATCTTGTCTTCGACTTAGCTAGTCACCGTCTCTACACTTCGCATGATGTGGTATTCTGCGAAGATACCTTTCCTTTTCGTACTCCTACGTCCCCCACCGTTGATGATGGAGTGGGCAGCAGTCTTGTTGATTAGGGGTGGGCATCAGTTGCGGTAAACACTAACCGAGCCGAACTGAACCGAAACCAAACTATTACTACTCGGTTCGGAATTCGGAACCATAATATGGGTATTTCAGAAACCAGGGTGGTCATACCGAACCCGAAATTCCGAAACCCGAACTGAGAACCCGAAATATATGCCCAGCCCAGTTCCCACAGCCTAGCCCATTCCCTAAGCGGCCTAGTCGTCTCCCCAAACCCACTTCCCAGTCCCCTCACAACCCAACCCGATATGCCACAACCCCAATACCCTATCCCATCAGCCAGAAAAAGAAAGAATGAGGAGAATCGCCGCCAACAACCCACCCGACTCTGATGCTCATCACCATTGGTCATCCACTTCCGATTGCTTCCTCGCCTCCGACCACCCACTCTTTCTCATTGCTCCTATGCGACTGCAACTATCACTCTGGCCATCTATCGTCGCTCGGAGCTTTACCAGCATCAGATCCAGTGGCGGCCTGAACAGAGGATGGACCATCGCCGACGTGAGCATCCCGCCTCTCTATTGCCGCTACATCGAGCTCTGCATCGACTAATTTTGAAGGCCGACAACCACAACCCATATGCAAGCATCGAGGGCTGAGGATTGGAATGGTCGCGATTGGAGAGGGAGAACCGACGAGTGGAGGGAGCTTGGCGGCGACGGTGGTAGTTGATAGCGAGCTCAGCGGCAGAGGAAGTTGGGCGACGACGGTGGTAGATGATTGTGGCCAGAGATGAGGGGAAAAGCAGATGGGAGTGGGTGGGAGAGAGAGAGAGAAAGAGAGAGAGAGGAACGGGAAAATGAGAGTAAGAGAGAGAGATGGGGTGGGTGAGACTTGGGTAGAGGGATTTCTCCAGTTCTCCACAATGTCCTCCACCTAAGTTAAAACATTTTCGGTGTTGCTCTTAAAACAGAACCGAACCGGAATATATTTCGGTTCGGACAAACCGAACCAAGATATATTTCGGTTCGATTTCGGTTTGGAACATAGGAAAGTTCGGGGACCCAATATGCTCCATTTCGGTTGGTTGAAAACCGAATCAATGCCCACCCCTACCGTTGATGCTCTTGATGAGCCTCCCGTCGAGTCCCCACTATCTGACCCTCCTTTGGGCGACTCTGCTGGCCTTGACTCTCCTGACCATGCAGCGCACTCCTCGTCCAACCATGAAGAAGAAGAAGAAGAAGACTCCACCGAGGAGTTGTCCTCACCCACATCTCTATCTGCGGCTCCTTCCGCGATCGCCATTCAGCCTATCCTGGCTCCGGAGCTTCGCCGAAGTGACCGAGTTCGCCACCCTCCATGTCACCGTCATATTTATGAGGTCGAGTTACCTTCTTCCAATTCTTGTGTTAAGTACCCTTTGTCTGATGTTCTCACTTATGATCATATGTCTCTTGACCACCGTGCCTTTGTTGCCTCGGTAACTCGAGCAGTGGAGCCTCGTAAAAACTGGCTGAGATCTTGATCCTCGTAGGCAGTCCGTGGACTCTCCTTGGATGGGGTTTCTCTGCTGTCATTATCGGCAAGCTGTGTTCTGCTGTTTTGGATGGCTGCGATGCTTCGGGTTTAGCTTGTGTGATCTGTTGTGGTAGTTTCTTAAGCGATTGGCTCTATGCATCTTTGTGGTGCTATTTCTGCTACTTTATGTTTTGTCTCTTTGTTTATCCTTTGTTTTTCTGGTTTCAGATCACCAATCACTTTCACTGCTTGTGAAGTGATGATCCCATCTTTGTACTCTTTTCCTTTCTCTTATTTAATAAAAGTTCAGCATCCTCATAAAAAAAAATTCGAGGAAGCCGTCAAATATGCTTATTGGCGGGCTGCTATGCAGCAAGAGGTTACGACTTTGGAGCTTAATCATACATGGGATCTGGTTTTCCTTCCTCCAGGCAAACATGTTATCGATCCGAAGTGGGTTTACAAGATTAAATATTTACCGGATGGTGAGATTGAAGGTTTTAAGGCCCGTCTGATTGCCAAGGGATACACGCAGACCGAAGGAATTGACTACCATGATACGTTTTCCCCTGTCGCGAAGTTGGTTACTGTTCGTTTCCTTTTGGCTCTTGCGGCCAGTATATCGTCTTCGCAAATCCCTGTATGGGTTGAAGCAAGCCTCGCGAAACTGGTACAAGAAATTCACCTCCTCACTTCAACACTTCGGTTTCACATATTCGAGGGCGGATCACTCGATGTTCTTGTACCAACGAGGTGATGTTTTCATTGTGGTCCTAATTTATGTGGATGATGTTGTGTTGGGAGGGAATGATTTGCCTACTATTAAATGTGTGAAGCAATTATTGATGGAGCAATTCAGTATCAAGGACCTTGGTCCACTGAAATACTTCCTGGGCATCGAGGTTGCTAGATCACGACATGGGATTTCATCGTCTCAGAGGAAATATACGCTGGATATTCTCGATGATGCAGGAGCACTTGGAGTGAAGCCTTGTGCGTTTCCCATAGAGAAAAATCATCACCTCACTCGTATAGAAGGACCAGCTGCACAGGATCCTTCAGCTTATCGCAGGTTGGTTGGCCGACTTCTGTACTTGACTGTTACACGGCCAGACATAGCTTATGTGGTAAACATTCTTAGTCAAGCAGTTCATTCACCACGTCAGCAACTCGTGGAAGCAGGTTACAGGGTGCTTCGATACCTGAAGCATGCCCCTGGTCGAGGTTTGTTCCTTCCCTTGAATAGTTCTTTAAGTCTTACAGCTTACTATGATGCAGATTTGGGGAGGTTGTCAACAAACTCGACATTCCACGACTAGTTATTTCATTAATCTTGGTGATAGTCCCGTTTCATGGAGAACGAAGAAGCAGTCTGTTGTTCCACGTTCTTCTGCTGAGGCCGAGTATAGGGCCATGGCAGCGACAATTAGTGAAGTTATATGGTTGAGATGGTTGCTGAAAGAACTTGGAGTAGCTCCTTCCGTACCAACTCCGTTACATTGTGATAATCAAGCAACATTACATATTGCTGCCAATCCAGTCTTTCACGAGCGCACTAAACACGTTAAGGTGGATTGCTACATTGTTCGAGAACGTGTGAGTTCAGCAGAGATAGCACCGCAGAAAATCTCAACAAACCATCATTAGTCGATGTCTTCACCAAAGGATTGGGAGCAGAACAGTTCACCTATCTTGCGTCCAAACTCGGCATGCATGATATCCATGTTTACGTTTGAGGGGGAGTGTTGAGGAGTGACGTGTTGTCCTTATGTGTACATGATAAAACATGAGGAGTGGTTATGTAATTATGTTTCCTAGCCCTAGTAGATTTCGTGAAACAGGAGCTAGAGAAATATATATATATGGTTCAGGCTAGCGTACGCTTACTAGCGTACGCCCCATAGAGTTTTGCTATTTATATCATGATTTAACAAGAGTTTGGGGCATGATACTATACCCTAACCTCTATTAGATGAACCCCAGTCCTTAATTTTCTAACCCAAACCATGAGATTAGTTTAATCTTAAAATGAAAATCAATGGTAATTTCGACGAATCAGAATCGTTGATTTTCACTTTAAGATTAAACGAATCTCATGCTTTGGGTTCGTGAATTGGGGATTGGGATTCACCCATTAGGTGTTAGGATATAGTATCATGTCCCAAACTCCAGTGAAAGCCCACTCAATTAAGCCTAGCGATGTTAGCTGATCCGGTTTCTAAGCCCAACTACTCAATATATGTAAAACCTCGCTTTTCACTCGGTTGGGCTTCTAAGCCCAGTAGCTTTCGGTTAGGCAGATGAAGTAAGCGAACCCTAAAGAGAGTACCAGACCAAGCAAATTATTGTCCCAACCCCACTTCTAAGCGATGAGCATAAAACGACAGAGTATCAGCTAAACTAAGATTCCCTTTCCCGCTCCTAGGATTTCGATCAAAACAAATCCTCCTTCTGTTCGAGAGATGAACAGGGGAAGAACAACAAGAACACTTCAATAAAGAACCCAGGCAGTAATCACTCAGATAAACCAAACCCTGGTACGCAGCCCTTCCTGGAGACTCGTGAGCCGACTCCCTTGCAAAATTAAACCTGGAACAGAAAACAAACAGAAGGACACAGACTGGAAACTGAAAACAGAAAACAAACACAGCTCACGATTTTTACGTGGTTTCCAGTGTTGGGAGAATGAGGATCCCAATACTGACTACTCCACGGTCAGAGAATCACGATTGTGTGATCTCCGACGAATCACTATGATTTTGCGTTGAAATTCGTCGTTACAAGCTATCTAGCCAAGAGCCCTTTGATCAATCTCAACCCGATTGATCAAATACTCTCTTCTCAAACCCGAATTGCTTCCCCAGCAACTCGAAACCATTGTTTCCCCAACACTAACCCTGAAAGCAATTCTCCCCGAACCCTTTGAGAAAACCCCTTTCCTATCAATCTAGCTATTCTCACAAAATCCCCTTTTGTCTTAGCTAGCTCTTTTAATCACTTGAAAGGTTGCCTTTCCTCTTGCTTTAGATCGCCTTTTATAGGCTGCTATGTAGCCGTTGTTCCTCAATATTCTTGCTGATTTGAAAACACCACAAAAGGTAGGCTTTTGATCTTTCTCCTTTTGTCCTGAATACCTTCCTTAACTGCTTTGGGCTGCCAATACATTTCCAGCTGTGATTCTTTGACATTTGAATCTTGACTTGGCCTCCAAGGTGTATGAGATTCAGCCATTGTCAAATTGATGCTAACATTCTCCCCCTCAGCTTGTCAATGGCCAAACTTATCCCCCTGAACTAGATGTCCCTGAATTCAGATTCCTCCTCAACTTGTCAATGTTCATTCTTAACCTGCTCACACTCAGAACTTGCACACTGAACAAACCGTTGGTGCAGCCTGTCCAATTCTCTAATAAAGACAGCAAGAGTTATGGAGTTAAATCAAAGCAATAGGAGTCCATTTTATTCATAGTAGTGAAACTAAAACATGGCTGACTCTAACATAATCATAACTGACTCAAGACACAGGACTTCTGCAAGTCTTATTCGCAAACCAGATTTTCTACTAGCTTCTAAACCCGACTTCAACAACCAGACAACCAGACCAGTCTTAATAAACCGACATAGATGACATTCATGGATCTCCCCCTAAGTTAATTAGCTAAGAAACTCCCTAGTAGGTATACTCCGGAGAAGAAGCATACTCAGAAGGATCGACTTCCTCATCCTCCGAAGGTACAAACAGAACCTTCTTAACCTTTTTGCCAGACGAACTGGCCTCTTTCCCTTTCAAGGCCAGGGTCATATCTTGAAGTAACCTTTTTCCCTCCTTCTCCAGCTTGATCCCTTCCTGGAGATGTCCCAAGTCAAAAGCTCTCTTGCGTTTTCCGGATGATTCTGCCACTCCCTTTCCCTTGTCTAGTCTCACAAGTACCGCTGCACCATTGTCACCATTGTCGTCCGAGGCAGACCCTGATTCGGACTGAGCAGCAGCCCCTGATTCAGACTGAGCAGCAGCAGCAGGTTTCTCTCCCCCTTGGACATTGACAGGTCTTTGAGGTCCAAGCTCCGAGAATGTGCGACGTAGGACGTGCTGGGCTTGGAGACCAGCATGGACTTCCCGGGTGATGATTTTCCCGTGTAGATCAACTCCTAATAATGACAACAGAGAGGTAATCTGCGGACCAAAGGGCAGCTTCCCGCTGCACTCTTCTTCTCGATATTTAATCATGTGATTAAACATGAGAGTTGCGTAACTGATCGGGCAGCTGGTTTTGGCATTAAAAAGAATCCATAAGTCAGACTCGGCGAGAGTTGTGGTCGTGGCAGCGTCGCGGGGAAGAAACAGGCGAGTGATGTAGAAATGCAGGGCTTTCAGCTCATCGGGAATTCGCTCAACTAAGAACATGGAGAATGGGTGCTTCCCATAGTCACGAGCTAGATACGACATAGTATCTATGGGATGGAACCCATAGCTGTCGAAATCTTATGTCGTTCCAGCGAGGTAGCCGTCGTGAGGAAGACGCAGCAGAGTGGCCAGCACATCAGCAGTGATTGTCACGCTGAAATTGTAGACGGTGGTGGTGAAAAACGATGGATAGCGTCCAGGGCCGCACTGCATACTTGCGTAGAACATTCTCACAGCCTCAGGACACTGATCAAGAAGCCGATCTTGAAGCAGAGAAATCCACCCAAGATCATTGATGTACCCATTGACCCTCAGTCCATACCGATTGAATGTGGTAGGAGGAATAAGGAATGAGGGATGAAGAGGGAGATCACAGAAGCTACGCAGATACCTCGAGTAGGCTTCCGAGTTGCGAAATCCCCGATTTGTGAAGATTGCAGCAGGTGCAAGGTTCACATTGAGCTGGGGATTGCTCGGTGCCATGGTGAGACAAAGAGCTGGGTCTGCTACTTGTGGTGGAGATGCTGGAAGGACTATGAGAATGCTGGGATAGAAATTCCGATGGTAGATGAGGGCTTCTTATATTGGCTGGTCGGAAACGATTTTTGGGAAGGGATTTATTAAGAGGAAGTTCGAATCATCTTGATTCAGAGAATCAATTAGGAGAATGTGAACCTCAGTCACGAGATTCTCTCTTCCCATTGTCGAATGTGAGAAGAAAGGTACAACGTGAAGGGATGGATCGAACAGAGATATATTGGGGATTTGAGCAGAAAAATGAGGGATGATGAACAAAGGGAGACAGCTGGGAAAGAGGATACTGAATCGTTTCTTTCCCAAGAATAGCACGCCCGGGAACGAAGATGGTTCGGCGGGGATCGCAGCAGGTTGGACCGACGAAAGGAGCGGGGGAAGGATTTGGGCTTCGGCCCGCAACACTTTGCAATAGAGAGTCGCAAGAGATATCTTGCTAGCCAGGAGTTCAGGCAAGTAACAGAGAGGGTGCTAGGGTCGAAAGTGGGCTTAGGCCCACAAGGTCAAGTAAGCGGCTCCAGCTCGGCTTAGAGGAAGGGATGAACCTGCTAGATCTGGGCTTCGGGCCACTAAGTCTTGTTAGTGGCTTAAATGACCTGGCCTTATGAATAGGTGGATGGGCCGAGAGATCAGAGGAAGAAAATTTAATTTGTTTTAAGTACCAACAGTACTACTCATTTCATAGCAGTCAACACGTTCAATATAATTTTACTTTAATTCATTAATCTCATTAGAAAGGATAAGTCCAAGTTCTCGACGAATGGTTAGAAATTGGTCAGCACTTAGAGGTTTAGTAAAGATATCAGCCCATTGATTCGTCGTAGGCACAAACTCAAGCTGAATTTGGCCTTCTTCAATCAATTCTCGAATGAAATGATACCTAATTTCTATGTGCTTGGTTCGAGAATGTTGAACGGGATCTCTTGCCATGTTAATGGCACTCGTATTGTCACACAATACGGGCATGGACTTAATTTCTAACCCGTAGTCACAAATTTGATGCTTCATCCAAAGGAGTTGAGTACAACACAGGCCAGCGGCCACGTATTCAGCCTCGGCGGTGGATAGAGCAACAGAGCTTTGTTTTTTGCTAAGCCAAGACACAAGAGAATTTCCGAGAAATTGACATGTCACGGAAGTACTTTTACGATCAACTACGCATCCAACATAGTCTGAGTCACTATAACCAATTCAATCAAGACTTGACTCACTATCATACCATAGACCTAGATCCATTGTGCCAGCTAAGTAACGAAAGATTCTCTTGACTGCAGTCAGATGACTTTCCTTAGGAGCATTTTGAAATCTAGCACATAGACACACACTGAATTGAATATCGGGTCTACTAGCAGTGAGATACATTAGCGAGCCAATCATTCCT